TTGAATTTGAGGACCTTGGTTTTCCCCTTGTGTATGTTGAGGCCTACTGACGCAGAGACTGCTGCTACACTGGCTGTATTTATCTGTATATATTCATGTGTATGCGATAGGAGGGCTAGGTCATCTGCGAAATCCAAATTGTAAAAAATTACTGATAAATAAATTTATATGTTTATGTATATTAGTTGTTCGAATTTCTCGTTGATGTTAATGACAACAATTGTTCAGTCTCTATTGACATACGTGTCTCTTGTACAGCTTCCCGCGATATTGCTGTTAAGACACAAGGATTTGAAGCAGAGATGGATGATGACTAGCAATAGAATTTAGAATACGCGTTTCATCGTATTTGAGATAAGCTAGTTCATTGTACCTGTATCCCACGACTGACGTCTACTCTGAGACTCTAACTCAGCACCGTTCTCTTCAAACAACACTTAGACTAGTTTGTATGTCGTAATATTAGATGGTTGGTAGTCAGCAGGAAACACTGTGCCTAAGTTTCATACTAGCTGGAACTCGTCGACAATGATGTTCTCTGTGGGACTCGAGCCCACGTCACCCAACTAAATAGTCAGGGACGTTACCATTCGATCTTTTAGACTAGTGACGACACCGAGACTTGATCTCTAGAATCCGATCAATACTAAAGGAATATATGTTGGTCACCATTCATATGAAAAGCCTTCACTTTTTCAACTAAAAATATGGCTGCCTCATTGTAGTAATACCTCTAGTAATACTGTAGTGAACGAGAACACAAGTGGAGACAACCAGATACATTTCAACACAAAACTACGGAATTTCCTAGTAAAACCTGAGAACCATGCAGTAAATACTTCATTTGCAAAATGTTGATCAATTGTCTCAAACCTGATTATTCCTTCGTTTCCACACCAACCACTCTCTGTTCTTGTTCTCTTCTCTTCGATCTTCTTGACATTTTGCCACCACGCATTTCACTTTCGACTAGTGATACATATTACTTATGTCTGTCGATGGCATGTATCACAATATTAATGACAAATTCTTCTAACAATATGTCACGACTAATCTGATATTTTTTAATTCTTCCAGTTGTTCCCAATGTTCATTGTGTGACTAACCACTCATCGTCGGGTAAAACATGACTGATGATTACCACTTACATAGCTTCCCATTATCACTTATAAAAATTTATTTTTTTGACAAAACTTGCTAAAAATGTACAGTACGATAAAGTAACAGACATCAATGAAAACCGAGATGTTAAACCGACTACATCAGGTAATTTGGGTTCTACTTCATGATCGTTCTTCCGGGTCATGAACTTTCCTATTATAAAGCTAGTCCCACAATGTATATATTCATTTCATCCTAGTTTAGATAGTTATTTGTATATAACAGATATTATTGAGTGTTTTGGTTACTAAAAAGCTCAAAATACTAGCAGTTATTTTAAGATAACTAAACACTAATACTTAAACTTTGACATTAGTCAATCTGAATACACTGTAAATTGACATAAGCCATAATATCCGAACGATTCTCAGCAACTACTAGTCGAAGTGAAATACACTCAGCGCCGAATTCCATACCTGACTCATTATTGTTCTAGGGACCTTTATGCATACCTTCCAATTCAGTCTTCCTAAACCATATTTCCAAGGCTATTGCTAAATTGTTTTGGCCACGTTCTGCTAACCAATTACGGTAACTTGGGCCAACCCAAAAGTGTCAGGCCCTATTTTCGTATGTCTAACCAGTTTACGCTCAAATGTGAATCGTCATTCCTTTTTACAGCGTACTTAAACAGTAGTAACAAATTACTTTAATAGTTAACTTGCTGATTCGGGAAATATCCAAGTAGTTTTGCTAATAACCATTAGGCTTGAAACAATGAAGGACCTACACTTCTATCAAGCGGTATCGATGTCACTAGTATCCTTGTAGCAGTGTGCCAGTATTATTTGTAGGATTGAGCTTTCGAAGAACAAGTTAGAGGGGCAGATATCATTATTAAAATTTCATTTAATCACTAAAATGGCTTTATAAATAGTTACCCACTACCACTGAAATTAATTCAAGTCTTTAGCTTCTCATCCTTTCCGCGTGATTTGAAGTGTGGAGACGTAAACTGACATTCATGGGTGACAAGTGCTAAGTTTGTAGACTGATCTGATAGGTGATCGACTTGAAGTCAATCAAATACAATGAGTTGAGTGTGATACATACCACTAGTGTATGAGACGCCTAAGTTGTGAATTTATTGTCAGCTAAATGAATAAACAACAACCCAGCTTGGTTTCATAAATGAATCTCAAAAAGATTTGAGCAATTTAACTTAATGAGGTAAAATTTGGAGATGCAAAGCAGCACCATTTATCATCCAACATAATCTCCCGATTTATTTCCCATCGATATATATAAACTAAGAATGCGTATTTCAGACGTGAGCATTTATGTTAGTCGGGAATATAAGGGTCATGATACTAGTGATTTTCGGTTCAGTGACCAGTTATAATTTGGCTCAGATGTGTATCACAAAACTGTGAAATGTAGGTTACACGTGTCAACAGTAAGCATTGTTGAGTCGATACTTAGTAATTAACGTAGAATTTGGCACAAATGAACATGAAGCTGAGATGCTACGGCACGGCAGCACAGGAACTGATAAGTAAGCCAATCACAAAATAGAACCTGGCACTCATGTACATCACTTTAAGTTACCATACCAAATTTGGACAGGGATGAGATTGTCAAGTTAAATCTTAGAATAGTAGAGGTATCAACAGTATCAGTGGTAATAAAAAACGTTAGGCATCGAAGATACGGTTCGAAAAAATAAAACTCAGTGAAATAAAGTTATGAAGAATTCGAGGGAAGACAAAGAATGGATGTACATGCACCATTGCAGACGTTTTTGAGCCAAGCCATTCAAAATCTCTAACCATTGATTTCGATAATCACACGGACCAAATAGTCTATACCTATTAACATGACTCAGTCCAGTTGTCAATGACTTCATGAAATGACTCTACGTCTTGCTTTAGCCGCCCTAAGCATTTTTGTGGCCTACTTCTATACCAGAAAACATCGTCCGTCGAGGGTGGTCATATCAGGCAATGAAGTCTTACTACCTCATCAATCGACTTGTCATTTGTACCCATTACCCTATCTTTAACAGACACTGGTTGCTTGATAGACCCAAAACACACGAGCAATGCCTCGAAGATGCTCATGATCGAAGACTAGAAAACTACAGATATCCTTTACTCTTAATGTTCATGCTTCAAATCCATAAAGTAGAACAAACCGAACTGCTGTATAGTAAACTCACCCTGTGGTTGGAAGACGGATAACTCACCTAGTCTACAAGTGACGCCATTTGGCAAAAGCCAGTCGTCTTCTGAATACGTACCAGAATTTAGTCAGACTCCAATCCATCAGGACTGGTGAGGCTGCCATTATAAGTGGAGCAATCGATAACTTCATCTACTTTACTCCCCATCATTAATTCGGGAGCTTATCTTGAAGTGATATTTTGAATCCAAAAGGGGAAAACCGCATCCCAAGCAAGTTTGCATTGTTGCCTAAGGTCAGAAAACTCTGCATTTTGTCACCAAAAAGAACTATATTATCTGTGTATTCTAAGTCAACAAGTGAATATCAATCCTTGAAGTCAGATGATGCAAGTGTTATCTTTAAAAGTGTGTCTATGACGAATATAAACAAAAATAGGAAAAGCGGACAGGCCTGATGAACAATTCCGATGACAGCTTGCAATAAGCTGACTCAACCAGTAGTGTTCGAGTAGAAAGCCTTACAAGGTTGATGTACTTCTTCAATATACCTTTTGACGAAAAACGATGCAACAGATTCTCCCAATCACTGAAGTTGGATGGTACCTTGAGGTAAAGGAACGCCATTGTAGTAGGACGTCAGAAAGCATGTCTATGTTCCTGGACACCAAAAGGCGAAAGATTTATCCGCCCCCAAATACCCTGGTACGGCCGAGAGTGGGGAGAGTCTGCTCTCCCTCTCCAAATGCTCAAACATGGTCACGAGTATGTAGCCTCTGCCAGGGAATTCCCACTCACTGCCTTCTCGTGGAGGGGGTGTTTACGAAATTGAGAGGACGGAAAGCGAATGTCTGGCGCCTTAACCGCGTTGGTGGACATGGAGAGTTTACCTAGGGGAGTTGGGAAACCCTGATCCCAAACCAATGGTGCACATGGGCTCCAGGATCCTGAAGGAACAAGTGGTGTATGAACCAATCGTTGGTCACCGGCTACCATGGAACTGCATCTCCCTACGATGCTCCACTGCCTTGTGTATCAGACCCTCAGGTCAAAGGCTCCGGGTGTGCTGAGAATTCTATATTGTACCAAAAAGATAATATTGAATAAAACCATTAATAATAATAAGAATAATAAGGAGAAGAAAGCCACCTGCTTCGGTTTGGGCACCCGGGCAGTATCACAGCCCTCACATATATCAAATGAGATTTGTGTGGCGCATATGTATTTGGTGCCTCCTTGTACCAATATCTATGTGTTAAAATAAATAAATAAGTTTATGTGATTCATCTGTGGTTGTCAAAAGAGAATATCATGGCAATAAAAGTGGATCAATACCTCTTGAAAGTATCTAGGACAATCAACCCACCTTCGTGCACAACTATTTCTTTTGTATTTCAAACATAACTTCCAGGTCTACCTAGTTTTCTTATAAATGCTAACTACTTTTCATCAGATGCACTAGATTTACGAATCAGTGAAGAATAGGCCCATTTCTTCCTTCTTATCAGATAGATTGAATTACACTGTTAGATCTCTAAAACGCAATGCTTACAGCACTTTTTAGGTCTATCCGTCTTCAGATTTACCGTGTACTCGCTCCCCACTTCAAATTCATAGTTTCATCCAAAAAACCTTTGTTATTATGTTGACTTGAAACTAAATAAGTTCCAAAAGCCCTAGTAGGACCCAAGGTAAGCATTAGAAAACAGCAGAAAAGTTAGACAAATTGTTCTATATTGAATAACCTCTGCACAATTTTAGCAGAATACAAATACTGACCAGCTGGAAGAATTAAATGAAGCTTTTTTTCTTACAGATATCCACAGAGTAAAAAGAAGCAATCAGTATTACTAAGGTGAGAAAGTGGATAGAAAGTCAATGGTCACTTCTTATCACCCTTAGGAGAAGCAGCAGTATCCTTTTCGCCTAAAGAAAAAGATTACACGAGGAAGAATACTTACCTTCATTATTTGAGGTCCAAAGTGTAAGATTATCCCTTAATAGTTGCATAATTATTGTTGAATCTTTGTAGCTTTCTTCCGATAATGTATCTAGTTCAGCGATAGCCGAATCAAACGCTACTCTTGCACACTTGCACGCTTGTTCACAGTTATTAAGAATCTCATAATAAAACACTGAAAAGTTTAGAGCAAGACCTAGTCGAATAGGATGAGTAATGGGAAGTTTTTCAGCATCCTCTGCCGCTTTTTTATATGCACAAAGACTGTTTTCGGCTGCATCTTTTCTTTGGTTCCCGACAGAATACTCGGCTCTATAGCGATAATAATCGCCTCTCCTAAACAAAAAATGCACTGAAACTAAAACAATACTAACATTTTATTTAAGAAGACTTTTGATTCGTCTGAAACAGCTTTTGGTAACAGGCAATTATCCAGAAGGTTCAAAATACTCGTGCATATTTCGTCTAACTCTTTTTCCACTTCTTCTCGAAATCTCTTGGTTATATGTATTTCGTCTGACCCCTTAGCTTCATCTTGGCTCTCCTTTGAATTTATTATTCTCCACGATGATCGGCGGGCACCAATGACGTTTTTGTAAGCGACAGATAGAAGGTTTCGTTCTTCGACTGTTAGCTCAGTTTCGCTATTTGTAGCTATCTCAATCATAGCTTTGACCATTTCTAAAAGGGGTTGTCGCGATTAGTATAGTGATTACTAGTCCAATTAAGTCGTGACAAAATTCATTATTCAGATGTCAAGCATGGATTGATAATATCCATGAGCTTGATGCAAAATGTAACCAAGATCTTCAGACAAATGTACACAAATTTCTAAAAGCCATTTGAATAGTCAGTGGCGAAACGCAATAACGTAGGCTTATAAAGGCACTAGAGACTGAGTCGTACAATCATGACCTTGCATTAAAGAATTCCACGTGAAAAGAAAAGCAGTGCGATCGAATATACTGGGATCAAAACTAATGTGGGTGTATAATGAACTCAAGATCTGAACAAATTACAATGCCATCCCTCCTATAGTTAGGGATTTTGATTCGGTTAAGAAGTTGCGTGGCGACCTTTGGGCGACGGTAAAGTTATCTTGTGAGTGTCCACCTATTAAGTAGGACTAAACGAGGGTTATAAACCAATGCAAATAATTAGAATTTTAACCTACAGTGGATGGTTGTGGTGAGGAATCAAATTAGGTTTTTCATCACGAATTGACATCAGCTAAAATACCGAAACGCCATTTAGCCAAATAAATGAGTGGATTTCGCGCGAAAATCTAGAACCTATTATATTATATCTGGCTGGTTCGTCCATAAACCATAGTCTCGCCAGAAACTGTACTTTGAAACCAGAAATCAAAGGAGCGTTACATACTACATGGTATCTTATTAGACTGAAATAATTGTGGTTGAGAGCCAACATACATCAATGGGACCAAAAGCGTCTGAATATATTTTGAGGTAAATGACTCAACTGGACACTTCGTCCAACACATCGACAGCAGAAATGAATACTAAGACTAAGGATATGAATAAAAACAAAATTCGTGTCCATAAAAGAGAACACATGCTATAAATTCCCTGGGGTTTGAATAGGATTTATTTGCACTTTTTTTATCCATTCTAGACTCTCGTTTAGTTCTCAACCTGTGACTTTTGATCTAGAGAACCAAATACACGATGTTTAAATTCCATCATATGGTTAACATTAATTTTGAATTTATGGACTAGCAACTCGTATAAGTTTGAGAGCAACTACAAAGTAATAGTTATCCTTAATTTGACTTTGGGTAATTAAGCAATTGCAATGCATAGGTTAGTCAATACAAGTTCAGTTCTTCCTTATTATTTAAATTTAGCAGCTAGCTATAACGCAACTCATTAAGCAGTTTACCTACTGGAAAAATCATATATGGCCGGACATATACAAAATGTATATTTCTAATAACATACATTTTTCGAATTACTAGGGCAGGTAGACATTCGAGAAGACAAAGTGAAACTTTCACCTAGAGGATTAAAATGGGTCAACCAAAATATGCTGAATTGATGAAGTACAGAGGTTGGGGTCAGAAGTAATAAAATAATATACAGGACTTTATCATGGAAACGGTTAATACCAGTAACTGAAGTTCACTCATACATACAGATGGCATTTGCAAGTAAATTAACACACGTACTTCTATCTACATTTATACCCAGTGTTTGTAGATATATAAAACAAAACATTTGAAGAGATTTTGACTCACCATCATATCGTTCAGCTTGTTCACATATTTTTGCAAGAACAATGTTCCTCTCCCTTAACTCATCCATGGCCAAAACTCAAATGTTGAACGGATGCACGTGTTAAGGACACTGATTAACTGTAACAAACAACAATGAGCCAAAAGCTGAGAGCATAGTTTTAACTACTTCATGGACGTAACTTCCCCGACTGTCAAGAAAATACAGATAAAGTACACACTCGATCTAACACTAGATTGTTCAGATAGTCATTTGATACTCGAGCGCGCTTTACGGAAGAAATGTTTAGTTCCGATGCGATTTGCGTTTGTCAAACTTTTCTTGTGTCCTTACACAAAAGAGCACCATTTTTGATCTGAAGATTCTGTCCTGAGCTAGACACTTAGTAGACTACTTTTCTTTTTGAGTTTTGCCCGATCAATTAATATAGTTTTCCACGTCGATGCTGGTTTTAATATATCCAAACCTTTTGTACCACCGGATTTAGCCGTTTTGAATATAATGTTTTTTTGTTTCACGGCCTTAAACTTTGGCTAGGACCATATTTCGCCATGGTCATGAAAAACTCATGTAAGCGACCTGGATGCTCTTTTGCTGTCACCCGTGGTATGCAGCGTGACAAATACAAAGGTCGGTTTCGCGAACTATGCACAGATCTTATGGCAACTTCTTACAACAGACTTAGTAAGTCAGATCACATACACATGCAGCATGAATGGTGGGGATTTTCTAAGAAGCAGCATCATCCTCTTGATAGGTCTACAAAAATATTTTCAGGAACCCTTAGAAAAGGCAGTGCTGAAACGAATAAATGAATATAAACGTGGAGTGGAGTAGAAAAGAGGGTCTTCGAGGACACTAGTATTGATGGAACACACATCGACACTAGTCAAGATATGCTGAAGCTCTGTACCGCCATAAAACCGATGGTGTTAGACTCTTTCAACAAACTTATGTCCTCCAGCACAGGCCCCTCAAGCGCAATTGTGGTCTTAGAAAATTCTGTTGGCGAAAGGACCGTAGTTTCACTATTCAAAATACCGAACAACTCATATCTTGTGTGTGAATCAGCTAGTGACTTGGCTGTGAAATCTACCTCTAAGATTGTCCAAACAGTCAGCATAGAGCACGGAAATCCGGAGCGCAATCCAATTAGCAAACAAAAGGACTCCAACTTCAACGCGCCCGAAAAACTTGGAAAGCCATCATGATTCGAGATTGTTCTCTTGTAATCGCGAACACTGAAGATAACCTTGACCTACCTCTCAGTCTTCAGGACAAAATGAAAAGATGTTTTGGGAAGGGTTGAATTGAAAGCTCGAACTTCCTAAAATTGAGCCACTGACTGTTACACGGATTATTGGAGAAAGGACTCGGAACACAAAATTCACCCAAAACTCCTTCGTATACTGCTCATGAACATTGTCGAATTGGAGGGTGTTCTGTTGTCCAGCTACCTGCCGAAATAAGTAGATATAAGAATACTGCTTAATGTACCATATTCTAAACTCATTCTCATAAGAAGCATTCCTGAGGCATCTTGCGAGACGTCCTCTTGTGGGAGAAATATCATTGTGCAAAGTGCCCCAGAAAACGTGGATTCCAACCATACAGACTATAATATTCTGAAGTGGAGATTCATAAAGCAGTCCTTGGAGCTCGAGAGCATAATGACTCGACAAATGGTATGACTACCGAGGAGAACAGGGACTGTAGCCCCCGGATAATAAGGATAATCTTCCCATCCTGCCATATGGCGGCTGCCACTTCCGAACCTTTTTGTGCCAAAAGATGTCGGTTGACGACTAGACTCCACATGCATCCGGACAGGCTATGTGATGCAAAGATCAAGCACTGTGAAGATTGTGGAAAAAACGCAGAAGGGACAGGGGCTATCAACTTGGAAACTTCAATGTGGGTAGCTTGCCTGTTTATTTACATAAGGCTCATTTGTACAAAAAGGACGAGGAAGCTCACACGTCTCAAAATGAAGGCATAAACCGCCTATATATGAATACCGTGAGTTTACTTGATAAAATGGATGAGTTGCGTGAATTAAGTGATACTAATAACTCTCATCTGATAGGAATACCTGAAACATGGGTATCTTCTCAAATGTGGATCAGGAGCTAACAGCACGCGGCACGTCTTCGCTTCTCAACGACTGAAAAACAGGAGTGGACGGAAAAGCAGACCTGTACCTGCAATCCTGCTTGGTAGCACATGAAGTGCGTACTCAAGAGTTCATCAATTTCGATGAATCTGTATGGTGCTCATTGAGATTGTCTAAAACCTCAAGGAGTCTAGTTAGAGTCATCTACAGGGAGCCCACTGCTGACACCAAGTGCGATAATCGCATGCTGGATTATCCCACTCTACACGTCTTGGGTATACTTGTGTTCAACCTTCCTAAAATCAACTTCACTGAACATATATACATTGGAGGTGACAACCCTACTAAGGGTGAATTTATCCGCAACGCAACCATATAAACTTAATGTATCGCACAGGGTCATCTGTGCATTCAAGTAACCACAGATTTTGTCATTTCATAATGTATTTTTAATAAAATAACTAGGTTATGTAGTTAATTTTCCTCTGTTTTTAATTTTTATTCGCCACGTCCAACTGCGTTACACTGAACGTCCACTGCACGCTGGGATGATATCTCAAGTCATAGTGAGTTTATTCACATAGTTGACTGTTTCCAGATAAACTGTTAGTGCATGATTTTACTGAATAAAGTTTTTTGTACTGGTTTTATGAACAACTGCCTGTTGTCTTCAGTATGAAAGCAGTATACATGTATCCTCCGTTTTCTCTTAGGTAAGTTTGACTGGCCTATATTTCGTGTTTTGGTTCTATCGGCTGAATTATGTTCATTTGACTCCGTTTAGCAAAATGTCTGTGCAAATGGAACAACAATTATGACACTTGCTTAGTTTAGTATTCCTGATTGCCGTATAATTTAGTTTAGTCTATAGAATTATAGTATACTTAAGTATAGTGCTTGAAGCCTGTAACGAAACAGATCAGTTTAGTAAGTAGAGCTGCCTGTTTTTAATGAGTATACTGATTTTGTTATGTTTCGTTATTGCTTGAATGCTATTACTGATGCGTCTTACTCGAACGGAACGAAGAATCAATGATTCAGCGACTCGATAGCTATTCTGGTTCGTTGTCCCCGACCCTGCTAACTCGATCAAGAAGTCTGGGTAAGGTGTAGAAGTGTATTCTACAGACAACAGCAGATAACAAGTCAAATCAAACACACAAATCAAGCGTATTTATACAATTATTTACAACCGATATTGTCATAGAAAATTTTTAAACATTAATCAACGAGTTCATTAATTGACCTATTTGCGCATTTAATCGATAGTTCATCAATTGACCCCAATAAAAATATCCAGCATTTAACACGTCTGGGTCAACCTGCATCCTGACTGTTGCTCGCCGTTCTCGGATAGGCCACAACAAGCTGAAACACGTCCCAGACGTGTTAAATGCTGGATATTTTTATTGGGGTCAATTGATGAACTATCGATTAAATGCGCAAATAGGTCAATTAATGAACTCGTTGATTAATGTTTAAAAATTTTCTATGACAATATCGGTTGTAAATAATTGTATAAATACGCTTGATTTGTGTGTTTGATTTGACTTGTTATCTGCTGTTGTCTGTAGAATACACTTCTACACCTTACCCAGACTTCTTGATCGAGTTAGCAGGGTCGGGGACAACGAACCAGAATAGCTATCGAGTCGCTGAATCATTGATTCTTCGTTCCGTTCGAGTAAGACGCATCAGTAATAGCATTCAAGCAATAACGAAACATAACAAAATCAGTATACTCATTAAAAACAGGCAGCTCTACTTACTAAACTGATCTGTTTCGTTACAGGCTTCAAGCACTATACTTAAGTATACTATAATTCTATAGACTAAACTAAATTATACGGCAATCAGGAATACTAAACTAAGCAAGTGTCATAATTGTTGTTCCATTTGCACAGACATTTTGCTAAACGGAGTCAAATGAACATAATTCAGCCGATAGAACCAAAACACGAAATATAGGCCAGTCAAACTTACCTAAGAGAAAACGGAGGATACATGTATACTGCTTTCATACTGAAGACAACAGGCAGTTGTTCATAAAACCAGTACAAAAAACTTTATTCAGTAAAATCATGCACTAACAGTTTATCTGGAAACAGTCAACTATGTGAATAAACTCACTATGACTTGAGATATCATCCCAGCGTGCAGTGGACGTTCAGTGTAACGCAGTTGGACGTGGCGAATAAAAATTAAAAACAGAGGAAAATTAACTACATAACCTAGTTATTTTATTAAAAATACATTATGAAATGACAAAATCTGTGGTTACTTGAATGCACAGATGACCCTGTGCGATACATTAAGTTTATATGGTTGCGTTGCGGATAAATTCACCCTTAGTAGGGTTGTCACCTCCAATGTATATATGTTCAGTGAAGTTGATTTTAGGAAGGTTGAACACAAGTATACCCAAGACGTGTAGAGTGGGATAATCCAGCATGCGATTATCGCACTTGGTGTCAGCAGTGGGCTCCCTGTAGATGACTCTAACTAGACTCCTTGAGGTTTTAGACAATCTCAATGAGCACCATACAGATTCATCGAAATTGATGAACTCTTGAGTACGCACTTCATGTGCTACCAAGCAGGATTGCAGGTACAGGTCTGCTTTTCCGTCCACTCCTGTTTTTCAGTCGTTGAGAAGCGAAGACGTGCCGCGTGCTGTTAGCTCCTGATCCACATTTGAGAAGATACCCATGTTTCAGGTATTCCTATCAGATGAGAGTTATTAGTATCACTTAATTCACGCAACTCATCCATTTTATCAAGTAAACTCACGGTATTCATATATAGGCGGTTTATGCCTTCATTTTGAGACGTGTGAGCTTCCTCGTCCTTTTTGTACAAATGAGCCTTATGTAAATAAACAGGCAAGCTACCCACATTGAAGTTTCCAAGTTGATAGCCCCTGTCCCTTCTGCGTTTTTTCCACAATCTTCACAGTGCTTGATCTTTGCATCACATAGCCTGTCCGGATGCATGTGGAGTCTAGTCGTCAACCGACATCTTTTGGCACAAAAAGGTTCGGAAGTGGCAGCCGCCATATGGCAGGATGGGAAGATTATCCTTATTATCCGGGGGCTACAGTCCCTGTTCTCCTCGGTAGTCATACCATTT